TCGTTGACCATAACCACTACATACTTAGCTAGATATCTCCGTAGTGTTGACCCCTTCCTTGACCTCTCATATTATCTGGCCGTGGATTACTTTCCAGTAATGACTTCAAAGCTTCATCATCAAAGTCCAACGAACGCCATTGCCTTTTTCCCACTTTCGATGACGTTTCTCCAGAATTAAACTTTACAAACCAATTTCTAAGTTGCTCGGCAGTTATGGCTTCTTTTACCATAACCACTACATATTTAACAAGAAGTCATTATCCCCTTGCTTGACCTCCCATAACAAGATATCGTTAACCTCTTGCTTGACCTCCCATATTATTTGGCCCTGGATTAATTTCTAATAATGGCTTCTATAATATGATCTGACGTTAATGCCGTTAAGAAATTTATTCTTTAATCCACTGTGTACGCTGACACTGCTTGGCAAAAAGTAAGGTATTTTAGTGTACTCGAAATGTATTAACTGCTTCGTATATAGCAGTTAGGATGATACATTGACTATTAAAATTGCTTCCTAAATACGGAAATTATATAAGACTCAAGTTAATGGCATTTAATAAGTACGAAATTATTTCAGTGACTCTCAGTTACTGTTTTTTTTTTATTATGATAGCTTATTTCAGAAATATAACATTATTTATTAGGTTGTGTTAAAAAATAATTGCCGTTTTTCTTTATCAACTTTATTCCCTAATAAATAAACTATAATCAGATTTTATTAAATTATATATTCACCATTATTTGCTATGACTTGTTGTCACTTGGGCAGCTTTTCAATTCATTTTGTGTAACATTCCACAGGTTTTCAGGTATTTTCGACGAATATATTAATCTGGCTTTTATTAGAGAAGCTTTTCTCTCCATCAAAGTGATCTGTACCAAACCAGAACGGCAATAATAATCGGTTGATGTAAAGTCAGGTGAATATGGCCGGTTCGGTTTGACAGACCAACCGAGTTCCAAAATTTATTTTCTGTCTTATTCTTGTTTTATACGGCCTTCAGATGTCATGGAAGAGAACAACAGGTTTTTCTTTTCATCCACTGCATACGCTGCCTCTCTTTTTATTAAATTATACAGTCACCGTTATTTGCAATGACATTTTGCCACATAATAGTCAGCTCTTCCATAACTTTTGAGTAAAATCCCGCAGGTTTTCATGCGTAGAGGCTTTCGACGATCTCATGTATCTGATTTTCATTAGAAAACGTTTTTCCCCATCGGTTGGTGACTACGCAAGATCATGGGGGGGGTCGCAGACTAAACGTTTTAGAAAATCCATTTCCTGTGTTATTCTTGCAGCAAGCGGTCTTGCATTGTTTCAGTTGGTTCCTAAAAACGAAAATTGATTCTTTTTCCTACTGTTCACCCAATACATGACCCAAGAGCCACTCAAGGTAGAAGGTTACTGTCTGATGGTGTATGAGCGTAAGAAATATCAAGAAGTGAAGAAAAGTTCATGAGGCTATGCAGGAAAGATAGCGGTTAACCATAGACTTGAATATTTGGTTTAGTTTGTTTTGTTTTACGGATTATCACCCTCAATAGGTTATTTAATGCCGACAAGATTTTTTATTGCTGCTAATATTTTTTTCAAAAATGTATTACTAGTAAAAAAATTTTCACAAAAAATAGTATTACTGGTATTAAAACCTATTTTTATACTTTCATAGTGTTTGACCCCTTTTGGGGGGGGATAACTATTTGCCCAGAGCTGGGACCCTAACAGGTGCTACCACCCCGGGTCAGGGTGGACCTGGGAACACCAGCAATTAAAAGGTGGTTCAATGCTCCTCAAAACCTCCTGATCAGAGGCCTTGTTGTTGGACGTAGTTTATCGTCTTACCCAGGACGTGGATGTAGTTTATCGTCATACCCAGGACGGAGACTTGACGTGGTCCCGATTGAAGCGATTGAGAAAGCATCATCTCGGGAGTCTGTTCCGCAAAGCAGCAATCCGTGAAAGGAAGCTGTCCGAATGGAATTTATGACTCAACCTAATACAAATTCTCTTGTACTTATGGTTGTTTTCTAAGCGTTGCTTGGATGTGGCACAAGGCCGAAAATCAGAAGCACCCAGAGATGATCAGTCGTAATTGATCTAGCGAGACAAGCTTGCTAACCATTACACCACGTCGAAGCTTCCTCTTCTTGTAATTGCGTGGCTGAAGTGAAATTAAGAAAACCTGAATGAATGTCGAACACACCGACATATCAATGAGTCATATATGTGCTTGTTTAAAAGGTGAAAGTTTTATTGTCTGAGCCGCGATGGAGTCGCTTCTGGCCAAAGTGTGTGGGCTTCTCCATCGAGTTGTCCACTATAATCAAATTTATGTGAATAGCCTAGTCAAACTCTCTTTGATTGACAGTCATCTCCGCCATCGCCGCCACCACCACCGCCACCAGGGGAGAGAAAAGAAATAGGGAGAGAGATTGACGATCCCGATGCTCAGAGGAGAGCGTGTGCCAACGGCGATGATTATATTCTTTCTTTCTTTCTTTCTTCATTGTCATGGTAGAGGGCTTAATGTTCCCAGTAATCCCAAGAGCGAATCCGTTTGGAATTCCAACTCCAGTAGGGTCACCCATAGCGTTAAGTTCGAAGAGGAAGGACCAGACTGAACGCAACCAACCCCCGAAAATCCCCAATGGCGGAATAAGGAAAGATCTACACGAACCCAACGGCCAAACCAGTGGAAGAGGAGAGCGTAAATCGAGCTGGCGTAACTCAGGGGGATCTTGACAGACCATGCATCCGCCAGCCCGATACAACCAGGATTCCCAGATCTCGCCTCTCTTAATCCCCTTTGAAACGGGAAGAAAGCGCTTCTGGCCAAGTGTGTGGGCTTCTCAGTTGTCTACCAAAATCAAATTCACGCGAATGGCCTCGTCAAAACTCTCTTTGGTTCAAAGCCATCTCCGCCACTGCCACTGCCACTAGGAGAGAGAGAAATGGAATAGGGAGAAAGGATAAGGATTCCGATGCTCAAATGTCGGTGCCGAAAAGAAGAGAGTTCATTTATTTATTCTTTCATTTATTTGAGGAAATATTCTTCATTTGCTTCTTTCTACCTTCCTCTTCTTTTTCCTTACCTATTTCTTTCATCGCTTTGATCTTTCTCTCTTTCTTTCTTTCTTTCTTTCTTTCTTTCATCGCCTTGTTCATCCTTTCACTCTTTTTTCCTTTTTTTCTTTCATCGACTCGTTCTTTCTGTCTACCTTTCTTTTCTTTCTTTTTTTTTCTTAGTTTTCTGAGCTTCTCTCTCTTTCTTTCTTTCATTCTTTCTTTCTTTCTTGTTCATTGCCATGATAGAGGGTTTAATTGTCCCAGTGATCCCAAGAGCGAATCCGTGTAGGACCACCCAAAGTTCGAAGAGGAAGGACCAAACTGAACGCAACCAACCCCCGAAGATCTCCAATGGCGGAATAATGAAAGATCTACACGATCCTAACGGCCAAACCAGTGGAAGGAGAGAGCGTAAATCGAGCTGGCGTAACCCAGGGGGGGGGATCTTGACAGACCATGCATCCGCCCGCCCGATGCAACCAGTGTTGCCAGATATCACCTCTCTTAATCCCCTTTGAATCGCGAGGATGACGCTTCTAGCCAAATGTGTGGGCTTCTCTGTTGGGCAGAGTTGTCCACCAAAATCAAATTCACGCGAATGATGTCGTCAAACTCTTTTGAGTTCACAGCCATTTTCAACCACCTGTGGCTGGAAGAAAGAGAACCGAATTACGACCCGATGCTCGCATGCCAGAGGGTACCGGCAATCTGCCGAAGCACCAATTAGAATATTTCGTAATCAGCGATTAAGTAGCAAATTAATTGAAACAGCTTTAGTTTCCTTTCTTTCGTCATAAGGTCAGTTTTAGACCCACTGGGTTGACAGGGTGTAATCAATTTCTATTTTTGCCTCACATTAGGTCATTTGCAGTGGTGTGCAGTAATATGAATCTATTTTCGGGGTGTATGATGAAATTTGTTTGGCCTTGAAAAATATCGCGACATCTGTAATTGCATCAGATTTTCATCACGCCCAGACACTACTGTCTCGACTGTCGATTAGTTGTCCTACGGCCATTGTCTGCGATGGACGTTACTCCAAGGAAGCGTACAAAAATTATAACGCTGCATGAAAACAATGGCAAGCCTTACCAGTTAGCAAATCAAACTACTATAAACTGGCCTGCAAACTCTCCTGATTTAAATCCAATCGAGAATCGGTTGTCAACATGCAAGAAAAGACTTTGTGGAATGGATATACGAAGTACTAACATGTGCACTGGGTCATGTTTCATTGGAATAAAATGCAAAAAAATGTAAATAATAACGGACTTATTCGTATGTTTCAATTAATTTGCACAACGGTGTACTTTTTTGTAAAAAGAAATTATGAAATTTTTTTGACAAGGTCGCCATTCCTATAAAACAACTTTATAACTACATAGAATAATAAAAATGATATCAAAATGAAGTCAATTTTTTTTTTTTCGCAATGACGAATGTTGATTGATAGCGTCCTAATATTAGTAAGGACAATTCCAAGGAGGCTGTTAATCCAAAGAGAGCCCAATACAAGAACAGAAGGAAGCAAAATAATAATAATAAATACAGACGCCCTTAAAAATCTATTCGGTTATAATTTATTTCATGAACATACAAAAAAAACGACGGTCTGAAATAAATTATAACTTCAATTACAATCAACTTGTCGTCTTCATGTTCCTGAATATATTTGATTGCCTGTGGATAAAACTTGCGATGTTCTAATGACAGCCAAAGTGAGATGACTGCATTAACTATCAGAGGGTGGCATAAATTGTCTGTCGTCTGCAAAACAAAAATGCTTTCTGATTTTCTCTTTAAATACACTTGCGTCCTTCCCAAGTTTACAGCGGATCTTGTCTCGACATTTTCCACAGGCCTGCGATTTGCGATGAAGGAAGAGGATAAAGAAATGATGGCGGAAAGTGATTGCATCCACATCATTATTCGGACGTGTATGAGAACATCATGGATCCAGACAGGTTGAGATAGATATGAACAGCCTTAGATAGATAGATAGATAGATAGATAGATAGATAGATAGATAGATAGATAGATAGATAGATATTCAATACACTGAGAAAGATCAGGAGCAAAAGATAGATAGATAGATAGATAGATAGATAGATAGATAGATAGATAGATAGATAGATAGATAGATAGATAGATCCAATACAAGACCTATGCTTAATGTTAAGTCCATGAATATCCTACATATGTCAATATTTTCACAAATTAATTCGTGATAACTAATCAATGTTTGTAAAATCTTTAGCAGAGTCATTATCAGGCTGAGTCATTAATAATTTCCGCTTTTGTAACCACTTCAAAAAATAAAGGACAATTCCAGTAATTAAATAATATTTTGTCCAAACTTACAGCACCTGGTATTCACAAACAGTCACCCATCTCTGTAGTGACCAGACTCGACGGTGCTTAATTTCGGTGATCAAATGTGAGGACTGGTGCTTTACCGTAACATGGTCGCAAGTAACAGGAAGAAACTGACTTTTAAAAAAAAAGTCACAAAAGAAAGGCTTTAAGAAAGTCACAAAAGGAGATTTGAGAAAAATTGAAAAACCTAATCAGCAGGAAGTGGACTGATCGAGATGAAAATATTTGCTACTGCAAATGTAACCAAAATGAAAAGATGATGAATATTATGAAGATGAAAGCAACGAAACTTACCGCTTTTAACTTTGTCCCAGGCGGGTGGGGGGGGTGCATTTTGGATCGATCAAAATGTTCAATTGATACTCTTTTGTGATTGATGTATTGATTTAAAATTCCAGATACGTTACTCAAAATAGATTATTGTATAAAAATACGTTATTCAATTATTCTAAAGGTATTGTAAATACAGTCAACACCTTTTGTTTCATATTTGCTGACGTCAGCATACTTTTTTTTCTTGGTGATCTAAAGATTACAGTAATTTTTCTAAAATTCCATATAGTCTTATTTTAGCGTACCAATACAGGTACTTCATGACTTCAGTAAACAAATACTTCAATGGATTTGGTTTATTTGGTTTGGTTTGTTTTACGGCATGTCAATACCTCAATGGATTCTTTAATGCCAACTAGATTATTGCGGGTAATACTTTTTTTAAAAATGTATGGCTGCTAATATTTCATTCCAAAAATGTATAACTGGTAATATTTTTTTCCTTCAAAAAATCATTGCTGCATAAAATGTATTGATGCAAAAATGTATTGCTGGTATTAAAACCTATTTTTACACTTTCATAGTGTTTTGACCTCATAATTCGGACCCTAACAGGTTCTGCCACCCCGGGTCAGGGTGGACCTTGGAACAACAGCAATTAAGATCAGAGGCCTTGCTGTTGGACGTAGTTTATCGTTTTACCCAGGACATGGATGTAGGTTATCTTCTTACCCAGGACGCGGATGTATCTTATCGTCTTACCCAGGAATGTATTCTAAGTGAAGTTATTGCATTGATGAATTTGGTTTATTTACTTTTTCTCCCAGTTCTCATATACGAAAATATCCTTGGGAAAGGTATGAATCCATCTCTTTCTCCCTCCCTCCCTCCCTGGGGTGAATATCAGTTTAGACTGAGACCTATAGCCTTGGTTGGCAACTAGTCTACCACAGAAAGAAACGAAAACTTACAGAAGGAAAATCTTCTGACTCGTCAGTCATTAATCGAAGGAGATATGATGACCCAAGTGTGTATCACGTATAGTGCTTAACTGACAGACTTTTCATAGTCTTCCGTTTGATGATGTCATGTTATATAGGAATAAAGTGTCACTGTCGATACTTGAGTTTGAACATAGATCGCCAGTGAGCAAATACAGGCGATCCCATTATTAAATTAAGTAGACCACGTGACCAAAGTGGAAACGTATTTATGTAGGAAGTAGCTGACGACTAACGATTGTTATTTCTAGTCTATCCTCTATTACTATTCGGATCACCATTTCTACTCTGTCCTCTAATACTATACGATCCGACATTCTCTATTCTATTCACTATACTATTTCTCTATTCAGATCACTATATGGATTACATTTCGAGCGAGTAATATCGAGCAAGTACTATTAGTGCTAATGTTACTCGAAGGCGTCTGACACCAGTATAGTTCAACGGCGTTACTATAGTTGTATCTGCAATTACAAAATCTCTACTACAACGAACATTACGAAAATGACAACGAGTGTTCGTTGGCATTGCAAAAGTGGCAATGAGTGTTCGTTGATATCACAAAAGTAGTATTTTAAGCAGATTGAATTCAATGCAGTTTGTCGGGACGTGTTTGCTTATACCCTTGGGGTAATTATGAACCCTCTTCTTCTCCCCCAGCTATGGGTTAATAGCCGAACAGACCGGGTTCTGTAGACATGGGCGGCAATTGGTCTACCTCAGAAAGAAATGGCAACCTACTGCAGGAAAAAAAATCTTCCTCGTCAGTCATGTATCGAAAGGTACATGATCGTCTAAGCATGTATCACGTATGGCACATAGCTGACTGTTTGGTAGTTGTTATATAGGAATAAAGTATCGCTGCCGACACTTGACTTTGAACCTAGATTGCCTGAGTTTGCTCACCGGCGAGCTATGTTCATATAGATCGCCAGTGAATTAAGTAGACCACGTGACCATAGAGGAAACGTATATATGGGAGGTAGCGTGTGTCTAATTGATCTGCATTTCTAGTCTATCCTCTATTACTATTAGGATCGTCATTTCTAGTCTATCCTCTATTACTATACGGACCGTTATTCTCTACTCTATTCACTATAATATTTCTCTATTCAGATCACTATACTGGTTACTTTTCGCGTGAGTATTATCGAGCAAGTACTATTAGTGCGAGTGATATTCAAAGGCGTCTAACAGCAGTATTGTTCAACGGCGTTACTATAGTCATATCTGCGATTACAAAGTCTCTACTACAACGAGCATTACGAAAGTGACAACGAGTATTCATTAACATTACTAAAGTGTCAACGAGTGTTCGTTGGCATAACAAAACATCACTAGTTCCAGACCCCGTGGAAGTCCAAAATATAAGATAAATGGTAAAAGTACAATTCTGCAAAGTTTCAAACAATTTTAACTGTTATTCAGAGCTTTACGTCATTTTAAATTTGGTAGACAAAAATCCCCTCCTCTATTTCAGAATTCCACAATTGAGAGAGAGAGGGGGGAGAGGGGGAGAGAGAGGGAGAGAGAGAGAGGGAGGGAGAGAGAGAGAGCCGAGCGGTAAGGCACGCCAGACTATATGACGGTTCCGTATAGGATACATGTTCGAATCCTGTCGTAGGACGAATATTTTCTATGAAAATTTCTCGGACATTCAGGCCGGTAAATGTTATTTAATACTGTTTATTATAAATACTTGTATCTATAAAAAGAATGTCAAACATAAAAATGTCTTTAGATAGATAGATAGATAGATAGATAGATAGATAGATAGATAGATAGATAGATAGATAGATATTCAACACACTGAGATAGATCAGAAGCATAGAAAGATATTAACAAAGATACATAGATAGGTATGAACAGCTTTAGCTAGATAGATTCAACACACTGAGATAGGTAGATAGATAGATAGATAGATAGATATGAACAGCCTTGGGGGGAGATAGATAGATAGATCCAATACAAGACATGCTTAATGTCAAGTCCATGAATATCCTACATAGGATTCTATTATTCGTGTTACAGGCAGGTGGGGGTTGTTTTTTTTGCCTCCTACACAGCTTCCAACTAATATTGCTGTGATTAAGGTATTGATGTAAACCTCCAGATATGTTACTCAAAATAAACTATCATAAAAAAAAAACATTTTGTTGATTTAATTTAAAGATAATTCCGAATAGAATGAACAACTTTTGTTTCAAAATTGTTGACGTCAGCAGATTTATTTTGCTGACGTGAGGATTTTAGTAGTTCTTCGAAAATTCATTATAGTTTTACTTTAGATTTCCAAAACAGCTACTTCCTGATTTCAATACATACAAGGTGCGAGATTTAATTTTTAATTTTGCGCATTGTTTGTTTTTGATTTTGTCATTTTAGCACCGTCGATGAGAAAAAGAGCACGATGACGCAATTCACTCCGTCAGAAATTTGGAACTACTGCTTGGCATTCGCGCAGGAAGCTCCAATGCGAACATTTCAGAGTGTTTGGGTGTCACTCTGAGAACAGTGTAGAGGATTCGGAAAGTGTTGGGTGAATCTAATGGTGATTATGAAGGTACAGCGGCCCAGAAAACTCAATCTGATCGTTGTAATAAGAAAAGAACTCCCGAATATGTTGGTGGGGGCCTTAGTCTCGACACGGAGGCCTATATCGTGCCTTGAGGGGGTAGTGCTGCCCTGGGTCAAGAGCGTGGCTGCTGAAAGAGCCTATGTCTGGAAAAAGGACTCTGCACCATGCCAAACCAGCAGGAGAACCCAGTTATAGCTGTCAGACAATTTCTGCGACGACATCGCCCCTTACACCTAACTCGCCAAGTTACAACCCCTTTGATTATTATGTGTGAGGCGTACTTAAGCGAGGGACCAACAAAATACCAAAGTCAAGGATTATGGAAGCATTCACCAACTTAAACAAGGAAACCGCCCAGAAGAGTTATAGAAGATATCGAAGACGTCTAGAGGTCGTGGTTTAAGAAAATTTTATTGAACAAATTTACTCTTTGGTACTTCAAGATATTCTTATGTAACTTTGATAAATATATCTGTTAAAGTGAGATGTCAGTGTCCTTTTTGCGTAATTTAGACGACAACTTATCCGTCGCACTATGCATGCTAGTCAATGGTGCATTATGGGTGGAAGATCTATTTAGACGACAATTTATCCATTGCACTATGTATGCTGGTCAATGGTGGATTATGGGTAGATCTATTTCAACGACAATTTATCCATCGCACTACGTATGCTCGTCAATGGTAGATCTACTTAGACGACAATTTATCAATCGCACTATGTACGGTGGTCAATGGTGCATTATGGGTAGATCTATTTAGACGACAATTTATCCATCGCACTATGTATGCTGGTCAATGGTGCATTATGGGTAGAAGATCGATTTAGACGACAGTTTATCCATCGTACCCTCCAGATACTTCAAAGTGTATTCAGCATGAATTTTTGCATTGGAAATGAAGCTATTGCAGTGAAGCATTTGATTTATTTATTTTCGAAACTTTCCCACTTGATGACGTCATTAGTCCCCGACACAATTTTAAATCTAGAATTAAAGATAAAGACTAAAAGAATAATCCTCCAAAGCTTCAAAGAATTTAACATGTGTCATTTTATATTCGACGGGTAAAAAGGCGCCACACTGCCTTTCATATATCCGAAATAACCTGCTTGGGTTAGGGTTAATTACCACAAAGAGAAATATGTAAGGTGGGCGAAGAAGTACATGAAAACTGATTTCTCTTTAGTAGTTTTTAGTGATTAATGTAAACCTATATTTAATGGACTTGATGGCTGGGATAGGAGTTGTGTCCGACGTGAAAACAGTCAGCCTATAAGATTTTGAAGACAATTAGGAGATGAGTTAATTATTTTATTAATTACACAACAACAAAAGAAAATACATCCTTGTACAAATTAATAGAAACAAAACGAATAAGTCCGTTATTATTTACTTTTTTTTGTATTTTTTCGAACTAAACATGCGCCAGTGCTCATGTTAGTACTTGTCTATTCCACGAAGTCGTTCTTTGCAGATTGACCACAGATTCTCGATTGGATTTAAATCAGGAGAGTTTCTGGGCCATTCTGTAGTACTTTGATTTGCTCACAGGTAAGGCTTGCCACGCTGTCCGTGCAGCGTTACAACTTTTCGTACGCTTCCTTGGAGTAACGTTCATTGCAGACAATGGCCCTAGGACAACTAATCGGCACAGTGAACCAACCCTCTTAGTTGTAAACCTAAGAATTGATTATAATAATATAATCTTTCCACTTCAGGTCAACCGAAAAACGTCAGCCCGAGAAGGCGTAATGAACATTATGTGGGGGATTAGTCACTCACAACATAGCAGCTGAAATTAGCTTCATGTTTACGGACATAAATGCATGCTTGACAGAAAATAAAACGTACACAAATAACAGCAAAACATGGTAAATTGTATGTTAATTTCATATACTTTATTTATATTTTGGTGTGTATTGGTGTGCGTATTTTTTAGGCTACAATTGTTTCATGTTACATGTGATAAAAGGGAGAATTTATTCCGTAGTATTACAGGCCATATCACAGAGAGAAGTCGGACACGTGTTGCCCGTACCAAGGTTCGTGGTGAAGTGTTTGAATTTAATGTCTTTTGACGGGATGTCTGTATTTCCGGCAGGAACAGTTTTTGTTGCATGAAGAAAGTATTTTTATTACTTTTAATTAATTTATTTTATACAACGTTTTTATGTCATTTTTTATTTTATTTATAATTTTCACTATTATTTTATATTTTATATTTTATTTATCATAATAATGCCCCTACAACATCTTTACCTTGTTTTATGTGCGTTGAAGAAAAGTTTTTAAATTTGTTCGTTGATAGGCCTCTGTGGACAGACAAATTCTCTATCTATCTATCTATCTCTCTGCACATATATTCTTGTGTTTCTTTCTGTCTCCTTCTCACTGCATGTATACACTTTGTGTCTGTCTGTCTGTCTGTCTGTCTCTCTCTCTCTCTCTCTGCGCATACGACACGTTTGGCGGAGGAGGGGGCGTATTCAACATTTTATAATTTTGCAGCAATACGTGCTTAAAGGTTTTAGGCAGTTTCGATCAACATTTCTTTTCATGGTTAGCCGTAAGCAATTGTAAATGTAGGTCTGCCTTACACTTTAGTAAAATAATAACAATAATAATATTTATTTATTTATTTACAGGAAATATCAAGTTTTACGGAAACATTGTTGACAATTATGTATTTAGTTGCATAACAAATAAATAAAAATAATATAAATTCTGATGCTATATTTGATTTGTTGTTTGATAGTTTTCATTTTCTCTTTTGTTATTGGCAGCATTTTTAGAATATTTTGGTTGCAATGCTAAGTTTCTTAAGTTGGACAAACTGGAGTTATTTCGTTTACGTTTTGTTACCTCTCTTTTCTATTGTTGTTTTTTTTTTTTTTATTGCTTTCTTCCAGTCTTTTTGATGGGCAATAGCGAAATTATAAAATTTAGAATGATCTTATTCCATTTCAAAAATAAAGACTTTAAAAAAGAAATATTTTAAATTAATATCCGACCAAAAATAAAATTCTTTTGACAAAAAACCTTAATTATGTGACAATCATGTAATGATATTCCGCAGACATATCTACGGTTTGTTTATGTTACCTAATCTCATTGCATGGCTACAAAGTATAAATCCAAATTGAGCTTGAAATATTGTGTAATCAGATTTATTTTTTATTTATTTATTTGTAAAATACTTGGATATGATATAATGAATAATTTGCAGTGAATAAAGCAATTTTCGATTTTTTGTTGAATACGCCTCTCCCCTGCTGAAAGCATCGTTTGCGTCTAAGGGTATATATATATATATATATATATATATATATATATATATATATATATATATATGAATAAAAATGACAATAGGAAAACTGGTAATTGCTGACGCGTTTCGTCCAATGTGGACTTTATCAAAGCAAAATACGAAAATGAAATTAATTGAACAAAGTAACTATTAAAAACAAAAACAGAATGTACCTAGCAACTGGAATGTAGAGAAACGCTATTTTCATATTTTTTAAATGAGAAATAACGTCAGAGATTGTCACGTGTGGAGAATATTGTCATTATATCTGTGTTGATGTATTCAACCATTTTCTTTCGATTTTATGAATCTGTTGTGCATGTTTGTTTGTAAGAGCATTAATTTTGTTAAGAAAGGTGAAATAGGGAAAAAGCCTGGGCGTAAATTGATATTTGGATAATTTTCTATGGCGGCACTCTCCAAAGTTTTTTCTCATTATTTCTCTCGTTATTTCATAATATTCATAATATTGTCTTCTCTACCGATTAAATCGGAGAAATTTTCATATATATATATATATATATATATATATATATATATATATAATATATCTGTTTCTTTTGTAAAGAGATACACTGATCCATCGGAATTACTGTTATATAATTCTAATGGACATAAAGTGGGGGATCCTTTTTTGCATTAAAAATCAACTAATCCCCAAGAATTAATATTATAATATTCTAATGAGCATAAAGTGGGGGATTAACTTAACTGATTCCCTAGAATTAATATTATGAAATTCTAAAAGGGCATAAAGTGTGTGGGGGGGGGGGCTATTTGTTTATTAATCGATTTTTATTTTTTATATAATGGTCACCAGGGACAGCCACAATAACGAGGTATTTTCTTTGTATTTTGTCTGGCTGGTTTAGTGGCCTCAGATTATGTGGTCGTCTTCTTCGATGTTGAAATCCCACAAGATCTTGACTTGGTCCTTCTCTGGCTTGTGCCGATACCATTTCAGTTCGACCTCAAATTTTATACTTCCTACATTGGAACCAATTTAGAAGGGGATACATCATTATTATTATTATTATTATTATTATTATTTCCTTGGTTTTCTGTTGTATACACATTTCCTTCCGGGTCC